AAAATAACTTTTTAATGTATCTACTTATTCTATGTGTAGAGATAACAGCTTATAACACGAAATATAAAATAATATATGTTTTAATGGAACACTTATATATTTTTTCTAATGCTCACAGCCCCGCACTAGGGAAACTCGTATCGAGGCTACCATGGACATAGCCAGAGACAAGTGCAATTCATACCCAAACTCACGAGAGAAGTATATGCACGCAATAGAAATATTTTTCTATACCCGGAACTCCAATATTGCACCTCGTATCCGAAATAAACTGCCTGCTGGCATTCATTTCTCAAATTTCAAAATTAAAAGCACTCTCTGTTAAACTATTTATAAATAGTCAATCGGTAACATTACCTACGTAAATAAGTATTTACATTTATTGTAGTATGTATATAAAGTTTATGAAGGTGTGTATGTCTGTAATATGTACATTATCATCATTTAAGAATATTTTATATTCACTACATAATTAGTCCCGCAGACTTTATTTCTACACCACGGCTAAGGTTGGCCGGAAGAGATCTCTTCTAGAGATAAACTGACCTTTGTATATGTCCTTTGTAAGAAAGAATTTATGTATGTATATATATTTTTTAATATTATTTACAAAAAAAACCGACCCCATCAAAAAACCAACCCTTTTTTTTATTTTCGTTTTATTTTAGAATTTAAAAAAGGGTACAATTTTCTAAACTAAACATACAAAACTGTACATATAGTTTGACTGCAGCACCGAAACGGGTCTCAATTGAGCAAAAAGTTACAAACTCACACAATGTGGTTAAAAATACTTAATAAAATAATTACTACTTAACTATTCAACAAAAATTTGTGAAATAATGACCTCTCAACTTTTTTTAAAATTACATTTTTTAGTTTCAAGTCCGATAACCTCTGGTAAGCTGTTGTCGTCGCTTAAATGCTAAACGGCCGCATGTCAAAAGTACACTTTTTTACGGGAGAGGTAATCTAACTTAGATCGACCTCATTTTTTAACATTGTTTTATTTTTAAATACCCTTGCATTTATACTTAAAAGATGCGTATTTTAAAGCTCTATAAATTTGTAAACACAGACACAACTCACAAAAGGACTGTTTAGCTCAAAAATTGGCCACGAAAGTGCAGATTGCCAAACAAGCATTTGCGTAATTCCTTTTATAATGCCAAATCACTAGGTGTCTTCGTGTAGTATTAAAGTTTCACCATTTACAAACACATTTTTGCAATAAAAACATTTCTGAAATTTTTTGTGATGCGGCGGTTTAGCATTTAAGCGACTATGTATGGAATACGTTTCTTTAAGGTCCTATCTCTATAGTAATTAGTCACTTTTGAGATTATAAATTTACCAGAGGTCATCGACCTTGTATTATAATTGTAATCAACTGTATATGTATATTGAAACACATATGGAAGTCTCGTCAAAACAAATCATTGTGAGCCCAAACATATGTTATCTGCTGCACGTTGTTGAGAAGTTTCTTCTTTTGTCTACCATTTCCACTTTCACATCAGCTCTTGGTTACCATAACATTTTATTTTAATTGGAATCACACCTATTTAAACTGCCTCCGTGGCCGAACGGTTATCATGCTGGATTACCGCGCAGAGGTCCCGTGTTCGATTCCCGGGAGAAATATTTGTTTGTATGGCCTACGATTTTATTTCTCTCGTAAGTTTGGGAGTAATTTGTGGTTGTCTATGTGTTTGTGCATGGCACCCGCGATGCAGGGTTTCCCTAATGCGGAGCTACGAGTGTGTACGCGTTATTATTATGCCAAGTCTTGTTAAAATCGGTTAATGGAAAGTGGGTAAAATAAATAAACCGGATTCGTCCCCTAATTTCTTGCCTTAGTGACGGAATGTTTTCTTCAATTTGAATGGGACCCCTTTTCTAATAAAAAAGAATCGCCGGTTCTTTTATTTATAATGTCAAGTGACGGGACGTCACTTCGTCGGGTCGCGCGCCTGGTGGTAAGCGACGACCTATTCATAACAGTTGCAGTGCCACTCAGAACTTCAAATCGCAAAGATCTTAGGGGCATTGCCACTGCGCCCGTCACCCTGAGACATAAGTTGACAAGTCCCATGTGCCTGTAATTTCACCAGCACCCTTAACCTTATAAACAGGAACGCAGTAATGGTCACATTACTGCTTGGCGGCGGAAATAGGTAAGGTGGCAGTACTTCCCTGGACGAAGGACAAAAAGCTCTACTGCTACTAAAATTTCGGTTGTCAAATGTCGAAGTAGTCGCGTAACAAACACAAAAAGTATAGTAAAAAAAGTAAAGTACAGCCGGTTTGAGGACCTTCTTCTTTTGAAGTCGGTTAATAAAGCCATTTACGAGACGATGTGTGCAGTTTACGTGAAATACGCCAAAGCACTTCTGCACACCAGTGCATTCATATCACCGTGACACGAATAGCTTAGGTTGAAATGCTGATGTTAACAAAACGTGATGATTTTAGCTCAACACTACCACATAGACAGACTGTCTCCGGTAAATGCTCTGAAGAAAAAATACGAATTACTTAATTGTAGGTAATATTTTGTTGTTATTGTTAATTTAATAATAATAATAATAAATTTATTTCCTTCACACACAATTTCAACCATAATTAAACATTCTTAAGTAATAAAATATTTGTTGTCTGTGAAGGCTGGAGCCTAAACTAGGATACCCTGTGCTATAGGTCTCCAGGCCTCCGCCTACGGATAAAGTATCAATAAAACATTGGCTGCGTCTGCGTCACGAATAATTGCTGAGAGAAAGTTACTCAAAATTTGGTTTATACAAATCAAACAATTATAAATATAAATAAAATTCAAAACTAGAGGGCAAGTATTTTGTTGTGGGTGTGTGTTTGTGTGTGTGTGTGTGTGTGTGTGTGTGTGTGTGTGTGTGTGTGTGT